TAATAATCATATGCTTTATATTTCAAGTTTGATGTGTACATGAATTTTAGGCGACTTTTCTATTAAACTTAATTTATTTAAAAATAACTAATTTTGTGAATCGATTTTTATATCAATATTAATATCAATTATTACAATAAAAATGATTGGAAAAGAAATGACATAATTGTTATGGAAAATGATTAGCAATCGATAAGAAAATCTATTCGTGTTGAATGAATGGATTGGGAATCGATTCCATGCCATCGACCGGACAGATGACAACAACAGCGGTTCCTCTGCACACCACAAGACCTAATGGTCTTGTGTCGTCTGTCAGCTTATAAGCGTCATCGGGATCTGTTTGGGCACATTATTTACCATATATTTAGACAATTGCTTCAAACAAGACGTTTGTCTCACCTCTCAATAGTTCAATAGTATTGTCTAAAACCAGATTTAATAGCGGATCAAATCCTTTAAGAATACCACTCGCTGTGTATAAGACAATGAAAGGATAATTAGTGAACCGATAGCCGGCGTGTATTACTTGTACATACCTTCGCGCCCGCCCTGAAACTTGACACGAATCGCTTTATCCAGATATTTGCCCAAATCAACGATACTCTCCTTCTTCTTCTTCTCGGGCGGACCCGAAGAACCCACGGCTCCCGACGACACCCGCTCTCCACCACCGGTGGCCGCGTTGGCCGACGAAGCGTTTCCTGACTGTCAGCACAACACAAGTCAACCATTAATTGCAAAGTTTTATATTAATTCAAATGCTTTACAAACCGAAGACATGTCCGCAAAGACTTGGATTCAATATTTCAAACAAATGATCAAAATTTGTAAAACAATTTCAAAACCAAATCAATGTTTTAGATATGGTTTGAAAACAATAAATGTCTTACAATTGAATGCTTTTTAGCACAATATCTCACAATATGTCATATTATAGGTTATAATTACACAACTGATTACCCCTTATTCACGTATTGCTACTTCACTGCACAACATGCATGTCATGTGTACGGGTGTAGCCGTACTGACGTGTTTTGCAGTGAAGCAAACAATCATTGAAAGTAAGGTATGAATCTTGAGTGTAAATAAAGGCTACATTTGATGACTATTTTGAATACTGTTTTGACGTAAAGAATACGATATTTATGTGAAAACATTAAATGATTTGTTTTTGTAATACAAATAAAAACAATTCAATGATTGAGTCATTCATTCATTCAATGATTTGTTAACGAAATTGAATTAATGTTTGAATTAATTGTGAATTAATTGT